GCTGTGACATATCAACAAAATGAAATCGTAACTTTGTAGAGAAAGGTCTTAGCTTCAAAATTACGGCTTATTTTTTGGTGTTACATTTCCATTTTTGGAGTTAGAGAAGGATCTACAAGGCCAATAAAAAGTTGTGGGACTAGGTATCTTGCACTATAGTAACATCTTTTTTTTTTTGCACGTTTTTTATTCTTTAAAAGACTTGTTTCAAACTGGTTATTTGGTTGCCCAACTTTCTATATATATACAATGTGTTTGTTACTAAATTAGGTTTAACTTATCATCGTAAAAATCAACGGAGCTTTTCCCTAGGTGATATATATATTAATATCTGTAATATACAGTATACATACAATTTAAAAACGCGCTATATATATATATTAATATTAATAGATTAATAATTTTAATTTTATAATTTCTTTAAAGAAATAAAAAAAAAGACATTATATACAAGTGTCATTGCCAAGAAATAGTTAAAAATATGTTTGATTAAAAAATGTTGTTAATATTTAATTATTATTACTGTATTGTTATGTATGTCTGGGTTCTGTATATATTGAAGATCAATTATTATTTAATCAAATACGCAGAACCTTTCTGTATATTTTGTATATTAATATGAGGGTTTGGCATAGCTTACTTAGTACAATAATGGGATATAAGGCTTGAAATATTCACTTTATATTTATATCAAAAACATATGCGTATATAACATTTTGCTGTTTAATTAATATTAATATATAGTATATAATATTTATTTGAGATGACTATTTTTAGTTATTATTATCCCCACGCAATTGAATTTCTAAAATCTTCAAACGTACCAATAGTATTAGTATTAATATTTCTATTATTATTTTTGTTACTATTAGTGTCACCAACACCACCATTATCTTTTTTGTAATAATTGTATAATATTAATATTGCAGCCATTGCTAAAAACATTAAGCTCCAGGCTGCCAAAGAATACCAGGACCAATTCGTTGTTCGTTGAGACCTGGTATTAAAGCGATGATTCTAAATACCCATACAAATAACAATATATCAAATATCAGGGCGAGAGTATTAAGAATTAAAGAAAATATTAAAAGAACTATGATTACTACATGATGTATATTATAATGAAATGAAAAAAGAATAAGGATATTTATGATAAGAACTATTAAATATGGAGCAGAAAAAAAATCTACAAAACTAACAGTTGACACTTGAGGCTTAAAATTTTTAATTTCTTCTAACATTATTGGTAGTATTTCATTTACTGTTTTATTAATATTAATTGTATCGCCACCGATTTCAGAGATAGAAGGTACTTAAAGAAAATAAAATAATATATAGATGGATCAATACCAATAATAAAAATAAAGAAACAATTGTGTCATTAATTTTTAATGACGATTACTTACTTTTATCAAAGTTATGTGATAAAGAAGGGTCGGAACAAGCATTATCAACACAATATGCATACAAGGTAAATGTCATATGTCATTTCTTTATGACAGATTGGATTGATTCATCAAATGCATGTCTTGATAGATAAATTAAATTTAAGCTACCAATCAACAAAATGAATAAAAGTATGCTCGATAATATTATAAGAGAAATTGTTATAGCAACTAATGGATCTCTTTTAAATGATTTAAAGATATGATTTTTATTCATTTTGAACACAGTCCCGCCGTGTATTATATATATATATATATATATATAAATAAATATTAATTCGAAAGGTTGTTAATATTAATGTTGTCATTTATATCTGAAAATTCATATAATAGTAATTATTAACATCAGGAAGATTGTATTGTATAATAATTATAATGCGAATGCTTTAAAAAACAATACAAGATGATTTGAAATTCCAAAAAATATCATAATTTCAGTTTTAAGAATGCGAAAAAGACCAAGCACAAAATATAATAATAAACATCTATCAAGAATGACATCTGTCATAGTAAGTAAATATTAAAACTAGGTTACAATTTTAGTTACGCTTTTTTAATAATAATACCAGGAAACTCGTTAATAATTAATATTTTAATAAAACATTAAAATATCAAATCTTCGATTCTTTTTATTAGAACTATAAAAAAACTGACATTGAATCGTGTGACGAACCCTTAGTGATTTTTTAAATTTCCCGTTTTTGTTTGTTTGCGCACATGTTACACATGCGTGTGTGCGAACCTCGATTTGTTAAGTTGTGGCGGTAAATTAATACCAATATAGTTGAATTAACATTCCATTTTTGGTTAAAAAAAATAAACAAATTTTACAAATGATCTTTTTTTAATAAACGTTCTGGTCTTGGGGCAATTCTTGTTTTCAATAGTAAACTTTGAATGATTATAACTCTTTAAATAATAGAGATATTGACTCCGAATTAAGTTTAAAACATACTAGAGAAATAGGACAATAAAGTAATAGAGCTCTTTTTTTTATTTTAATATAAAAAATGGCATTTATTTTAAGCTAGAAAATCAAAATAAAAGTTGTGAATATATGTTACTAAATTTATGTAAGTAAAATTGTAAAAAGCTCTCTATTAGTTTAAAGATCATCAAAAAGTGAATTTAAAACATAAGTTTTATTTGAATATAACATATAGTTTAAGAGTTATTTTGAGTTTTGTAATTTTGCGAAGTTTGCAAAACTCCTGAAAAATCCTTATTAATGAAAATTTATGTGATCAACTATGTTTGTAAATCATATGATGTGAGACACCCCAGTGTTGTGACCCGAAACTCTGAGTTTAGGGAAAACCGAAACAGAAACTAACAGAAACCACCTGAAACTAGTTTAGGTTAGTAGTTTATGTTTATGTTTAGGTTTAGTTTTCTGCTTAGTGTAAGTTCATTTTCCGAAACGTTTCGGGAAGCCAAAAGAGTTTCTGGTGACAATACTGAGGACGTGCCATATATTAACTGAGACCAATTTATTGTAGCCACTGAGAAATTGTACTTTAGATAACTGGTTTTTCCAGCTCATCTTTAAAAATCCGGATATTCTTTTAAGAAAATTGCTTCGATTTTTACCTATCAAAATTATTCTTTTAATTATTGTTTGTAAACCATCCAATTCATTTTTTTTGATCAATGGATCAAAAAATTTATAAAATGGTCCAACAAAATATTCAACTCATTTCTTCCATAACTCGAAATATTATCATTGTATTGTAAAATTACGTTCTCTCGGATTAAGTATTTTAAAAGTTCAACATTTGGAAATCTATTTTTGAATTTTTCTGCAAATATGATGAATATTGCGAGCATGTAACCGAGGTTGTTCAATAAAACATATAAATACTGCTAATCCCCCAGTTTCCTAGTGAAATCTTTATCAATATTCCTCGATTAGATTTTCCCGTTAGTCTCGCTAACAAAATAAAACATATATACAACTATATTGATTGAGGCAATATTGTAAAATTAAAAGGGATTAAATCATTAATTATTAGAAAGGGTTACGACACAATTTACAATGGCTTTGCCTCTTTAACTATGCAATGATTTGTAAAAAATTTAAAATGTTTTTATTTCAATATAAAGAGTTGTGATTTTCCAGTTAGTTCTTTTAACTCAAGCAAATTATACTTCTTTACGTTTCACAAAATTATAAAGGTAAAATACTTTGGTGACTAATTGTAAAGAGACTTGGACACTACTGTCTATAATAACAAAGATACCTCTTGACATTATTTAATCATAAGAAAAAAAAGACCATGCAACAATTTACAAATAAAGAAATATTAATATTACAGTCAGACCTCTATATAATTGCACTCTCGGGCCACACAAAATACGCGTTTATAGAGAAAGTGTGCTTGCATAGAGGTACATTTATATAGTCACAAGTGTACTTGCATACAGGTATTTTTGTATAGTCACAAGTGTTCTTATATAGTGGCTTTATATATAGTTATGACAAGTAACAAGTTTTTTACAAAAAAGTATTGCAAAATAATGACTTTTACAATATCAAAACCGGCATATTAGAAATTACATATTTCAACTCTTTTAAATCACTGATAAGAGCATCAATGGTGATTTGTTTATGGTTATTAAACTCGTGAAGCACAAACTCTAAATTTTATAATTCATTGTTCTCTTCTTATTGTTCATAATAATTAATCCAAGTTAACAGAGCATCTTTTCCCGAATTATCAGTTATTTCAACATGTTGAGCCTCTCCATTACTACTATTTTTTTTCACTTATATTAACTGGATCTTGAACTAATTTAATTATTTGTTTATCGCTTAATGCTTCGTCGGTAGAAATGTTTGATATAATGATTTTTTTAGCAACTTTACCAATTAATATTAATATTAAGTTCATGCAAGACGTAAAAACTTTAACAAGTACAGTACATTTAAAATACAACATTAGAAATTTTTTTAGGACATAGTTAACCTGCGATAGTGATTATAAACAAAATGTGCTTACATAGAGGTTTTTTATTAATAAAAAACAGGATAGTGTGCTTTTAGTAAGGAGTTATTAGTATTGGTGTGGACAATGGTTTTCTGCGATTTGCAGAAAACTGCAAATCTCGCCTTAAATACAGAATCTAAATTTAAACACCACATAATTGCGCAGCGTTACAAATAGCCGCGCAGAATTTGATTTTTATCACCAGGCTTCTTTTCCAGTTCAACAATTTTAAACAGTTTGAATCCGGGTGCCATAATTCAATCGATTGATTAAAATTGCATTTATCTTCAAGTTTATCATATGAAAAGGATTCTCTAATAAAAACAAAAATAGAAACAATAGATAAATGATTTGTACAAATATAGTATTGAATGGTTAAATTTAAAATCCGGTTTAAATCCGGCTGCTATAATTTCAATCGGATTTTCAAATAAAAAACGGTTATTTAAATACAATTATTATTCTTGTTCTTTATTTTCAAACCCTATTTTTTTTAAAAAAAAAGAGTTTGCAATGTCAGAAGAAATAATTACAGAAATTAAAGAATTTTTTTCAAACATAGAAACCCTAATTAAAAATCATCTTGATGATGATAATATTCAAAATCAATCCGATATCCAACAAAAGTTTAAAAATGGAAAAAGGTTAATTGACAAACTAAAAGATGATCAGAAGCAACACGGGTCTTTTAGATTCCAATATCACATCAATTATGCTAGGTATTTGAAAAATATTGGTGAAGTAGACGATGCTCAAGATCAAGAAGTGTTGTCAAAAAAATTCGAAGCATTCAAGAACTCTCCTAAGAAAGAAGATGCCTATAAAAAAGAATCAATACTATTGATGGAACCTACGTTAGAAAACCTCAATCAATCACTTAATTCTGAAAATAATATAGAAGAGGATGTAGAAAACCGACTAAACAATGTTAAAAGCTTTTTAAGTGAAAAGTTTATTGAGGGTGTCAAACAGACTTTTAAAGTATTTAACAGCATTCCAGGAACCTTTGAAGACTATAAATCTATTGTTACTTGCAATGCTATTGTATGTAAATTAATAGATAATTTAATTAATGAAGGACTAATTGGTCTGGAAAAGCTTCAAGATTCAACAAATACAGAAAATAAGGAGCAGATAATTCGTGCTTTAGAACCTTTAAAATCAATTGCTAATAAAGCAGCCTATAAAAAAAGAATAAATTTTATCCAGCATGTTTTAAATTCTTCTAATAAAAAAGAAATTCTATTTGACAATGTGTTCACAGAAGAAACAATTAATAAACGATATAAAGAACTTGCTTTGTATTTCCATCCTGATAAAAATAATCGTCCAAACAGCCCAAATTATTTACGAGATGAACATAAAAATCTAAGTGGTGAGATCTTTAGAGATATTCAAAAGATTAAAGAGAGCTTATTGATTGATGTGGAAGATACCACAAAAAATGGAAATGTGCCATCTTCTCATGAAACAATGGCAAATGAGCTTTGGAGTATTGCAATTGATTATCGTAATGCATCTAAAGCACAATGGAGTAAATTAAAATTGTTAAAGAAAGATGATATCAAAGACATTTCTTCCGAAAGACTAATAAAATTGAGTGAGGATAATGGAAGATTGGCCTATGAGAGATATCGGGCTGCTTGCAAGGTTGCGGATAGAACTAAACAGCTAAGAAAACAAGTAAAATTACGAAGTAATATGGCACTATGTTTATACATCTCCAATTGTTGTCTAGAAGCACAATTATATGCTTTATCGGCAATTAATTTAATAATTCGGAATCCTGAGGATGCCACACAACAAGATCTGTTTGATGCAAAAGGAGTATTTAATAAAGTTAAAGGCGACGGAGCTACTAAAAATAACTCTACATTAAACAATGACAATAATATTGAAAAGACACTGGCTTTAACCAGAAAGGCAGACTATGGAATTTCATACTCCCAGAAAACTGCGACTAAGGAATCAATTAATGAGGATCTAAAAGTAATATGCACTGAATTAATTATTCGTGCAGAACGTAGTTTGGGACAACCGCAAGCATATGGCGAAGGAATTTTGCGTGCAAAAGAGCGTTCTTTTCAATATAAAGCAAAAGGAGGGACGGCTATAGTGGGCGGAATAGGCATAGGAGGATCAGTGGCAGCGAATGCTGGCTTAAATATTTATGCAGCAATTGCAATTGGAGCTGGAGTTAGTAATCCACTTATATTGAT